TTCCGAAGACAACCTTCAGAACTCGGTATGGTCATTATGAATTCGTAGTTATGTCATTTGGACTAACTAATTCTCCTGCAACTTTCATGGATTTGATGAACAGGTTATTCAAGCAATACTTGGACTTGTTCGTTAGTCTTTATTGATGATATCCTCATTTACTCTAGGAATGAGGGAGAACATGTGAATCATTTGATGGTTGTCCTGGAAACTCTCAAAGATCACCAGTTATTCGCTAAATTTAGCAAGTGCGAGTTTTGGTTGCAATCAGTTGCTTTCCTTACGCATATTGTGTCTAGCAAAGGGATCCGAGTGGATTCCCCGAAAATAGAAGCAGTGAAACAATGGCCTAAACCTACCTCTCCTACAAATATCAGAAGTTTCTTAGGTCTAGTAGGTTATTACAGAAGGTTCGTGGAAGGGTTTTCATAATTGCCTCTCTATTGACTAAGTGGACCTATTTTCAGTGGTCAGATGATTGTGAGAAAAGCTTCGCAGAACTGAAAACTAGATTGACTACAACTCTTGTTTTGACTCTACTAGAGGGTTCAGACGGTTATGTTATCTATTGTGATGCATCCAGAGTCGGCATAAGTTGTGTGTTGATGCAGCGAGGTAAGGTTATAGATTATGCTTCCAGTCAGGTTAAGGTGCATTAGAAGAACTATCCAACTCATGACCTAGAGTTTGCAGTAGTGGTGTTCGCACTTAAGATTTGGAGACATTACTTGTATGGTGTTCACGTAGATGTGTTCACAGACCATAAGAGCTTTGTTCACCCAGAAAGAGTTGAATCTTCGCCAGATGAGATGGCTTGAGTTCCTCAAGGATTATGATATGAGTGTACATTGCCATCATGGTAAGGCCAATGTAGTAGCAAACTCCCTTAGTAGACTATTTGTGGGTAGTGTAGCACATGTTGAGGAAGAAAGAAAAGAACTAGTAAAGAATGTTCATAGGCTTGTTCGCATAGGAGTTCGCCTTATGAGCATATCAGATGGTGGTGTAATAGTTCAGAAAGGGGCAGAATCTTCATTGGTAGTGGAGGTTAAGGAAAAGCAAGATAGTGATCTGATATTGCTTCAACTAAAGGGTGCAGTTCATCAGCAGAAAGTTGAGGTTTTTTCCCAAGGGGAGATGGTGTGCTTCGCTATCA